TGCAATCGAGATCAACTTCCAACCCATTATAAAAACCACAGAGGTACAAATATAATTTGTTAATCATAAACCCAGTATCTCTAACTCAAGTTCAAAAGTGCTCTTGAATGGCGTTACCATGCTTACAGAGCTGTGGAGTGCACACTACATTTGGAGTGCAATATTGGCATCATAGGGATCCATCAACTTGAGAGTCCATTTCCTGTGATGGAGCATTCTGTACATCTGTGACTTTACTTGTATTTCTTCCAAAATGAATTTCATGCTTAACTTGTTTTTCTTAATTAAACTTCCTTTAGTGGTTTCTAATATGTGCATTATTAAAACTCATTAGTCCCATTCATGCCTGCCTGTCATTTTTAGCTTCACATTCATGTATTGAAGTGCTCTGTTGCTTTATATAGGAAGCAAATTAAATAATAAATATGAGAACTTGAACGTTTTATGAGTGTCAGTATGAGAAAGTGGCTGCAAGGCCCATAAGGTTTCACACAAAAAAAGCATTACAGCTAAAGCTAACATGCTGACACATCTCTGATCTATAAAGTCTGCAGTAATGGTAGCAGTAAAGTGTTGTGCCATAGATGGGGAATTTTTCTCTCACGCGAAATAGAAATAAGATAGAGCACAGACTATATTTACCGTTGTAAAAAAATTTCAAATAAAATTTCCCAAAAGCTTAGAATATAACACTATTAAATGTCTGCAAAGATTTACTCTTTCCATCTCACTTCACATGTAGCTCCTATTATTCAGCTCCTTGTCCCGGTATCATTCTCTACTACTCTCTGCCAAAAAGACACTCCTTTAAGTTATGGCACCCAGCCTCAGATCTGCCTGTGGCCACGTCCCAGTCACAGTGACCATGACTCCAGTGACAGAAGAGCTTCCTCACCCAGCAGTGACTATTTCAGGGGCTCAGTCTCCAATGGAAGAACCAATCCGGAGAAACAAAGCTCCACCCCACACCACCTATTTTTCACAGGCCTGAAATTGTTTTACTGTGTTTTACAGCAGTGCTCCTCTAAAAGTAGTTGTTCTCTCCTCCTGAATATTTCTAATGCTTCGTGCCTATCCAACACTTCACCATCTACAAGTGAGTTTTTTTTTGGAAACTGGTGAACGGGATTGGGAAGGGGATAGTTAAAGAAATATCTGCATGTCAGGTATTGCAGTGGAAAGTTTCAGAGAGATGGAATTAAACACGAGTACAAGATACAACATAAATGTATTCCCCCTCATTAAATTCCCAGAACCAGTTCAACAAGTGAGTTAATGGCATCTCTAGGCAGGTTGTGATTGAGCAGATTTAGAAAATATATTTTACATTGCCATTTAAGTTCTCTGCTTGGTTAAAAGGATATGAGTCACTTGAAATATAATATTTTAAAGTGTCCTTGATCATTTTTATGATTTTACATGCACGTGTTGCTAATTTCAAAGCATTAGATTCTCCTTTATAATGGTGCAGAAGACCTAACCAAGCATCAATGGAAAGAAGCAGACTACCCAAAGGCAGCACTAAAACTGATTATGCAGAAAATGTTACAAGAACAAAATACAGGAATTCAACAAATGGGGGTAAGGGAGCTCCAACTGCTCTTCGTTTAATGGCCTCATCTATAATTTGCCTATAGCAGTGAGGAAAAAAAAAATCACATCGAGGTATGCAGTGCAGATCTGTACATGGCTGGAATACCAGAAGGATATGTACAGCTGACCCAGGGTGTCTCCTGACCACCTCTCTTCTTTTAAAGAACAAAGTGGGGTCTTAGAGTGGGTGCATGGGAAACCTCATCTGTGGTAATAAGTCGGTAGCTAGGCACTTGTTCTCCTTGGGTAACAAACAGCACATCATTAACTATTCATAATTACGAGAATGAAGTTGGTTGGAAAAAGGCGGGGTCTCCAGAGGGGGGTGAAAACATGCAGCTGAGTCACCAAGAACTCAACATGATGTCCCCTTGTAATTGTGAGAATTCAGTAGTCGTCCAGGGAACGCTAAGTCATCAGTTGTCATTAAAACAAAAGGATGTGTTTCAACATCCACACTGAACCAATATATAACTTGTTGAAGTTCGCACATCAACCCCTTTTTCACATCCCCGATCTCCCCCACCACTCCCACACAAAGTCCTCTGCAACAAGCAGCTTGCGAGGAGCCATCTCTCTCTGCATGCACATTCCTTCCTGATGCAGAGCTCAGAAGCAGGGCTGCTGTAATGGAAATGTGCTTTTATAACAGCATTTATTCAGCAGTCAGGATCTATTTTTGTCACTCCCCATTATATTTATCGTGGATGGATCTCTGGGACTAACAAGAAATTACATTGTTTACTGGATCAGATTGATTACTGCCCATCTTTTATTAAAAGAAATACCCAAAGGTTTCTACTGAATCTCTGGCAAAATACTGTCTTTTCACTATTTGCTTTCAAAGAATGTCTGTCTCTTTTTGCTCTTCTTTTTCACTATTTAATTTTTAAACAGTTTCCTTTTCATGTGATTAAAAAAACATAATAAGTATGACAGCAAACAAATAATTCAGAGCTAGCCAAGGATCTGTAATACAGCTCCACGTCTCTATTAGAAAGGAATGTGTATTTGCTTTTAATAAAGAAAGGCACGCCAATCCATTACAAACTAAGACCATGTCTAAGCCTCTGCTTTCTCCTCTTTTCCCCAGACTCCATTTGAACAATTACAGTGGTTTGTGCTTGTGTATGTGCCAGTGGATATTAAACATGCAAACTGATGAAAAATAAAACTGCCACCATTACTGTGTTCAAATCTTCCATTCATCTGCAAATCAATTTATCAGCCTACAGCTCCATCCCAGTCTTTAAATAACCCTCCTCAGCAGCCTGCTCCACCTCCAGCCAAATAATCCCGAGCAAGCCCACTTTGTTAAGGGTGTTTCAGTACCAACAGCCAGGAGATCTCCTTACCCTAACATAGAGAAAGGGGTGAGATACCCAAAGCAGCAGCAAGACAACATCTCTGCTCGCTTCCACGCAGCGTACTGCCTTAAACAGCCTGCACACTCTCTGATGGCTTCGCTGCTACTTCACTTAATGACAAAACAGAGGTGTTCAGCCAAATCCTGCTTCCTCACACACTTAGCGTGATTATCCTCAGCCTCATTTTTCTCCCTGCAGCCCATATGTGGTTCATATCAAATACACAGAAGAAATGAGAACTGTTGTATGTGTTTAAGGACACCTCGACCACTTACTGCAAAACTGCTTTTTTGCTACCTTGCTACAATCTGTAGCTGTAGCCTAAGAAAACAGTTGTCTTATATTAGAAGTAACTAAGGAGTATCCTTCTTTCCCCATGCATCATACACCATAGGGAGAAGGAAAGAAAAGAGAAAAAAAAGTAAAAGAAAGAACCACTCAAGCAGTATTTCCAAACATGGCTACTTAGCTCTTGGCTCCCTGCAAATCTAATTTCAAAGATGCAAAAGTGGGCTGTGTGTTACAGCTGTAGAGCCCACACAAGTCTCAGTGCAGTCAATGGGAATCAGTATCTCTGAAAATCAGGGCCCTCAGTAATGAGCTCTATTTTTACATGCTCATTTGTATCACGCTTGGTCTTGCACTTGTCAGGTGCCTGGAATAGAGTGCATGCAATTTCATAAGTATCCTTTGCTTCAGATTAAGCCAGCCCAGGAAAAAAAAAAAAAAGAGAAAAGTTCCCAAAGCTCACAGTGCTGCTCCTTCAGCAAGCACAACGTCTAGATGCATCCAAAAATGCTCTAACAGTATGTAAATAAAAAAATAATAATTTAAAAAGCAACAACAACAAACAAGCAAACAAACTGATAAAAAGCAATGCAGGTATTCAAGGAGCCCAAAAAAGTTATTTGGAGCCTTATCACAAATACATGTTTTCAGACGTGAGTGATCTCTGGAACGCAGCGGTGCAACCCAGTCCCACTGAGGTTATGGACAATTGCAAATACTGCCACACTGGAAGTCAGCAGTAGAAAAGAAAATATTTCCTAGAACAATTTCTTACACTTCTGCTGGGAATAAAAACAAAATATCTGCTCTATTTCCAATGCACAGTGCTAAATGCATGCACTTCGGTATTTATACCATCCATAAGGGATATTTCCATTTTATACCAGTGGTCGTTAACACCACGGTTGTTAGAGCTCAACCAAAGTGGCCTTCCAGAAAGCAAAAGCAGTGTCAAACTGAGATGCTGTTCTTTAGAAAGGTCAGCACATTTATGGGAGAAAACGGCCTGTCCAGGCTGTGTCACCTGCAGCTGCAAGAACGCTCCGCCGTAACAAGGCTCTGTTTTCCTTTATTTAAACAATTATTTTAATGTAATTGATCTGGAACCATACGCATCCTTAAAATGATTTGAGATAATATCCTTTCTGCTGATTCCAAGGTAACTTTCTGGCTTTAATTATAAGTCAATTAATATTAAGTAATTTGACTGATTAATTTTAATTAAACCTGCTGAAAATTGATTTTCCTTCAGCAAGATGAGACGAGAGCAACCGTCAGGAAAAGGGGGGGGGGGAGGCAGAGGAGGGGGGGGTTGCTGTGGGGGTGGGGGGAGCAGCGCTCAGCCCCCGCACGGCGCAGCCCGGGGGAGGCAGTGCCCGCAGCCGGCCGGCACCGAGCGGCCGCAGGAAGCGGCGGAGCGCGGCCCTGGGGGCAGCGGGGAGGAAAAGTTCGCCGGGGCGGCCGCGTGGGGCAGATGTGCGCGTGCACATCTCCCCGCCGCCCCGCCCCTCCCCTCCCTCCTCCTCCTCCTCCTCCTCCTCCTCCTCCTCGCAGCCTCCCTCGAGGCTCCGCTCCCCGGGCGGCTGCAGCAACGCGCGGCTCCTCGGGCACGGCACGCGCACCTCGGGCTCAGCCCCGCACCTCCCTCAGGCTCAACCGGGCTCCCACATCCCGACCCCCATCCCGACCCCGGAACCCACCCCCAGCCCGGCCCGGGCTCGCCCCTCACGCCGACGGCATCAAAGTATTTACCAGTTCGCGGCCGCTTTTCTGCAATCTCCTCTGAAACTGTAATTCATCGGATTCGCCTCCTCCGGCTCTTTCCGAGCCGCCGGCAGCTGGAGGTTTCCCAATCGTGCCCCGGACGCTTCCGAATTATATCGATTTTGAGATATTTTTCTCCCCTTTCCTCGGATCGGGGCGAGGGGAGGGGGGGCTGGAAATCCCCATCCGGAATTCAGCCTCATCCGTGCCGAGCCACCTCCATTTAAATCCGACCATCAGGCAAGCAATAGAAATGATCAAACGCTACTTCTCTCCGTCTGCAGGCAGATAATCCTCCTAATCCAATAGATCTCCCCCGATCCGAAATTGCCCTCCAGACGAATCCCTTTCGCTCGATGTCCGGCGGGTGAGCGCGGAGCCGCGCGGTGCCGCGAGGATGTGCGCGTGTGTGCTGTGTGTGTGTGTGTGTGCTGTGTGCGCGTGTGGAAGTGGGGGTGAGCGTGGCTGCGGGGGGGCCGCTAATCTTTTTTGGCTCCTGGCTGCACGGCTCGCCGATACCGCCGAGAACCTTGCTTTTTTCCCCCTATTACACGTTTCCACTCCAAATTGCTGCTGGATGAAAAATGGTACAAAGATACCCCCAGCGGCAGCGCGGCGAACAGCCCCGGCCCCTCCGCACCGCCCCGGCCCCGCTCTGCCCCCTCCCTCCCCCCCCTCCCTCCCCCCGGGCACCCCCGGCCCCCACGGCACGAGAGGGGCTCGAGCCCCCCCGGGCTGCACGTGCACGGCCGTTGGAGCCCCTCGATATGAAACGGAGCGGCCGTGCACACCTGTGTGTGTGTGTGTGTGTGTGTGTGTGTGCGTATGCACACAGAGCGAGTTACAGCCGCGTGCAACGCTCTGATGTTTCACACGGGCATCACTGAGTAAGCAACCATCTCTTACTTACTCAGACCGTCAGCGTGCACAAAATATGGGGCTACTGATGTGATTTCTTTCTGCTGTTTCTATTATTTTTTTTTCATAATGTGGTTCTCACTGCTTAATTTTTATCTTTAATTGAGAATAATCAGTCTCCAGTGCTTCGTGTTTTCTAGGAGCACAGTAGACACTGAAAGTTGGCATGTGGGAGAGAGGAAGGCCAGATCAGAAGGAAAGCAGTCATCTGAATGCTGAAAGGTCTTTTCATGTTTAAGAACAGACACAACCACACACTAAAAGATTATAAGCATCCCCAGTAAAGCCCCTTGGAGAGAGCTCATTAACATCTCCTGTTGTTTTAGGAGAGAATCCCCTCCACGTTGTGTTAAAGCCCCTGTTTTGTTGTGTTGACAGCCACCTCGTTTCACAGCAGGCACTGGCCCAGCACAGCACACCCGCTCACACTCCCACACAGGTGGGATCCCACCGTGGGGTTTGGTGTCACAGCCCTCACCTGTGAGCGCATCCCAGCGGAGCGAAGGCCAATCCCAGCCACACGCAGCTATTTACGTCTCCGGGTCCCACTGAGGATCTATATCTAAGTGTCCATGGCAGGGATGACAGCACACAGCAGCAGCTCATCCTGTGACATTTCTGTGTACTGGAATCATTCTGTCTCGGGCACATTTTTCACCTGGTAAGTATCAATAATTATAATAGTTCATGATTAATTGTCAAAGTCCAGCATCCTTCAGCTCTCTGAAATTTAACTCTTCCACTGCAGCTGAAAGCGTAAGGCTCTCACACAGGGGGGAAAGGCACAGTCTTTGCTGATAGCGCAATCCTGTGCACATTGTTATGCTATTCTCAAGGGAACACTAGAGGAAAAAAAAGATTTCAAAACCAGATAGAAAATGTGCATATGAATATCAATCACTTGCCACCAGCCTCAGACAACCTACAGTCTACAAACTCTCAACAACGAGTGCAATACGAGGTGAGCTATTCTGCCATTCTCTATCTGTAACACAGCCTGGAGAAATTTTATCTTTGGCTTGGTTATTTTTTTGCACTGAAATGTTGACAGAAAGCAAGCACACCTTTGTTTCCACCTGATGAGCTGGTGGAATCCAGCTGTGTGCATTTTGCCTCCTGCTCCTTCAAGGAGGATACATGCATCTTCCCCATAGGCCACCATGGGAGCACCCATCGGGGTGCCCCAAGAATCCATAAATTTATTGTCCACTGTCACCTGCATGGAAAACTCCAACCACTAATTCCCCTACACAACTTTTTTGGAGGGAGATGATTTCCATCCCACTTACTACAATCCCACCTATAGCAGTCTGTCCTTCACCTGACCCAAACCCATCTTGGCTTGTGCAGAAATGACACCAAGTTGCTGTCGAGCACTAAGATTTTCTTTACTTCCCTCTCACAGCAGCTGCTGCATGGTACCAGCTCACACACAGCATTGCTTTTGTTCTGCCCCATCCCCGGTGCTGGGATTTATTTACACATACGTGCACATACAAATGTATATAAACACATACAATGTTTGGACTCATTGGAAAGAAGGGGGAGAAGGGTTTGTAGTCAATTAGAACGTTGCTAAATATAATTTGATGTGCTGCATGCTGAGAAAGTATAATTTTATTAAAATCTAAGGAATGCAAAACTGGTTTCAAGAATGACATTAGCTAATGTGTAGCTCAGCGGATGTGGTATCCGTGCATATTAAAATAATGGGAAGGGAAAGAGATAAATTAGCATGGACTGAGTATCCATGACAATTTCGAACACCAGTGTCCTGCAATACCCTGACATTTAATTCCATGCTCCATTTTTTGCTCTTTCCCTGAGTTTTAAGAACATGAAGCCCTCCATGCAATCCACATCTCAATACCCAAGTTTAAAAAAAGAACAAAACATACAATGAAAACCTAAAGAGAAGAAAGAAGACACCAACATGCAAACTAAGCTAAAGTACATATCTGAGGTATATAAAGTACACATCTGAAGTACTGCTGCGCTGAATTTTTCTCTCTGACATGTTTCACAACCTATTGAAATATATAATTTTGAATAGTATTACTTTTTCAAATACAGATTTGTTCAGACTATAGAAAAGAATATTAACCTTTTTAATAGGTAGAAAAGGTGGGATTGTTTGCATAGATAAGATCCTAATTATTCACTAATATGCTTTTCTGAAGACAGCTCATTAAATTGTTTCTTGCAAGTAACATCGTTGAATATTTTCTTTGATTTCCTGAAACTTAAATAAGTTTATTTATGTTGCCTATTTATATTCTCTGGACTGCTCCCAACTGTCAAATCTTTAATAAAACTATACTACCTGTCTACAGTCTGCTTTAGTTAGCCACGAGTGCTTTGTTATTGCTGTCCTTTTGGTTTAACCTTGTCAAGAGAAGAGTAACTTAAAGACTCAGTCCCTCCTCCCACTGCACAGACTCTTCAGAAGGATTAAGGCAATCTCTCAGTTGCTTCAAGCATTTGTCATTAGTTGCTTATGACTTGCTTTGCTTAATATTGTTCTTTTATACTAAAACAACCACATTTTAGAATTGTGATGCTTTGCTTGCACGCAAAGAGCTCCATCACTTAGGAAGGGCCAGATGTTCACACAACAAGAGTTAAGACGATAAGAATACATGGTTTAAGTGTCTCAACTCTAAATCCATTCCTTCGCCTTCAAAAAGTCCCCAAGCGTGTGCCCATCTGTCCTTACTGCAGCTCCTGACTTCATGAAGCACTCAGGGTCAGCGGCTCTCTTCCTCCCTGCCCGTGATGGGAATGGCACATCATGTCATCGGGTAGGATTTGTATTCTGACATCATATGGATTGTCCTCAGTGACATTCGCATTTTATCATTAGCACCTTGTACTGGAATATTTAATTGGTTACGTTGCATCTCTGCACTGTAGATTTATTTCACATTTTCACTTAACAGTCATGACCAATAGTCTGATAGATGGCAAAGAACTCTGTAAAGTCGGACCCTACTGGATTAAAAGCTTTACTGGAAGGCATCAGATGCCCACTCAGCCCTAACTTCTCACTGGCCAATTTCACTGGGGCTTCTACAGCACAGCTCATGAGGACACAGGGGGAAGCGCACAGGACACAAAGGTGACACAAAACCTCTTCCTACAGAGTGACCCCCTAATGCTGCACCACCTGGACCAAATGCTCAGACCAGCACAGTCCTCCCACAGATGCTCTGAGACTCAGAATTTGAGGTTCTTTCAGGTGCTACTGAAAGACGGATATTGACAAAGAAACCCACTGCCAGTGCTCTTACTGGAACTTAATCAGTAGATTACAATACGTTACACACTGCGCTTGCCAGGGAAATCTGAATTAATTATAAAATCCATTTCCTTGTTTATATGGCTGTGAATACTCTTAGACCAGGAGAGTTTTATGACTGTCCCTTTCCAAAAATCCCGTTATTCTTTGAAGACAAAATTCACCATGACTTTGGCTTCCAGTGACCAAATATAGAAAAACACAAGGATAGACTATATTAGTAATTACAAAAAGTGTTTATGAAAAGAGTTTTCTGATTACGCTGTGTGAAAACCAATCTATTGCTGGCTTTCCAATTAAATTAGCTTAAGCCGATAGTTGAAAAGGGTATATGCTGTATACTGCTTTTGACACAATGAATTTTAAAGCATGTGGGGACATTCTCCAAAGAAGGAAGTCAGTATCACATACAATTTGCGTTCTTTTTAACCCAGTAAGGAAATGGCACAGCCAGCTTCATCACTGGTGTAATGAACTGGATGTTAGAGGAACCTCATCAGAGAACTCTGGTGGTTTCCTGCTACCTGATCTCAGCAGAAAAATAAAAATGTAGGCTGGATTGTTAGCATTTGCAAGTAAAAATAGTAAATTGTTTTCTGCATGCATTTAAGGAAGAACATCTTTTCCCTTCTCAGCAGCCAGTTTCCATAAACCTTCAATTCTTGTGAATTAAGACTTGCTGAAACCTTGACACACACTCAGCACTGATAAACCATCTGAGGCCCTCATTTAAACCAGTCGGTAATAAGATGATTGTGAAATATATCATTATTTTGCTTCCAGTTTCTCTTGCGTTGATTGGAGTCTGTTTGCCTCCAGTTACAATTGCACTGATAACTCAGTGACCAGTATAATTGAGCCTGGGTCTCATTATGGCTCCCAGCCAAGAGAGCCCAAGATTGCAAAGATATTTCTTAAAATTTCTT